GCTGAAGTCGGACGCTTAACCGACTGCGCCACCCAGGCGCCCCTCGTTCCGCTATTCTTTATGTCTGTATGAATTCGACTATTCTAGGTATCTTATATAAGCGGAATCATACATAGTTGTCCTTTTGTGCTTGGCTTATATTCACCTAGCATTAGATCTCCATGGTCCTTGTAGCATTTATCAGAATTTCATCCCTCTTACAGGCTGAATCATATTCCATTGTGCGTGTTTTTTTTTTTTTTAAATCCATTTATCCATTGATGGGCTACAGTGGCTCTTTGAGGAAAGGATTTGTCGTCCTCCATGCTCCACCGTTCTAGAAATGCACATCCACAGGTGCACTTTTACATTTACTTTTACTTTTACTAGATTAATGACTATCTCCCACACTAGACAAGCTCCATGAATGGAGGAAATAGTTTTCGTTGTTGTTGTTGTTGTTGCTGTTTTCTGTACCCCAGCACCCAGTAGTAGGCACTGGGTGAATACTTATGAATATTTGAGATATGGAACAAAACGACTCCCTCTGATCCATTTGAAGCAGGAAGACAAATGGACAAACGTGCTTTAGGAAGAAAAAAACCTGCCCCTGTTTGCTGAGCACTTACTACGTTGCTCAGCTCCATGCCAAGCTTTGCATTGCCTCGATTCGTTTGATCCTTAACAACTAACCCTTTGAATGAAGCAGGCACAACGAAATCACATTTTAAGGACAAGAATGGGAATTAAGTTATGTCGTTAGCACAACAGGAAAACAATGATATAATCGAAAGGACCTAATCTGAACACACCCAAGTGAGATGATTTGCATGCTCATCCTGGAATGCATGGCCTTTGGGCGAAATGGTAGGGAACTTGTAAACTACCCTCTCATCCCCATCACCTATGTTTGACTTGAACTTAGTTAACCAGGATGTGACTCCACTTGACTAGTATCATCCACGTATTAAGGATGAGGAAGCGGGGATGTGAAGATGGTGAGCGGGGAGGCAGAGTAGAAGCAAGGACACAGAAGATGCCCAGTACTCCTTGAAGGCAGTGGAGAGGGAGGCCCGGACAGAGGCAGGGGCTGGAGAGCAGGGTTCTGGGGCAGGGACAGCATCGCGGTGCGGGCTACTGATTCCTCAGGCACCAAATGATAGCGGACTGGATCCTATTCCCCATCTCCCGCTCATTCCCGGCCCTTCCCCACCGGGGTCACTCACCTGCTCCTAGCGCCCTGGTTTCTCAACGCAGTTACTTACCTCCGTTGTACCTGCGTTGCTAGGTTACCCGCCAATCACGGAAGGAGGGACTCGGCGTCTGACTGACTTTCTTTTTCACCATTCCATTCCTTGTTTCGCTCAATCCGCCCCACCTCCTGAGGCCTGACCAATCAGGAGTACCGCCTCTCTGACCCTCCGCTAATGAAAAGGCCCGCGACTCTCCCTGGGTTGGGCTGAATGAGGAAGGTGGGGGTGGGGTGGGTGGGGAAAGGGGCGGAGCTTCTTTGTCCCACCTCTTCCCAAGGAGGTGGGCAGGGGATCCTGCATCAGCCCCGGGCGAGAACTGGGGAAGGACGTGAAGCTTGCCCAATCAGAGCTCATCATGCTGCCTGGGTAGCCAATAGGCCGCGGCAAAGAGGTGGAATGGGGCGGGGCCGGGGGGGTTGAAGGGACGGTAAGCGGCGGAGGAGAGAGCTGGCGCAGCTGCCGTGGTGGCAGCGGCTGAAGTGGCGGCGCCTGCGGCGGCTGCAACAGCTCCAGGCTCGGGGCTTTGGCGGCGGCGGCGGCGGCGCCGGCGGGCTGGGCTGCACGGTGCGGACCCCGGCGCGCGGTCCGGGTTGCTGGGGCGGCGCGTGTAAGAATCTGAGGGGTGCGAGCGATGGCCTGACGGAGAGGGCAGGGGCCAGGGGTCAGAGGGCATGGAGTAAGGGGTTGCGCCGCGCTCTGGGCTGTGGGAGGCGGGCAGGGCGGGCCCAGAGGGACTTCGGGAAGTCATCGCCGCGCTTTTCTCCCTCCAGCCCAGGCCGGTGCTTGGCGCCCCCTCTCCTCGCTCCCGGCTTCCTGGGGCGACCCCCAAGTTGGGGCCCGGACCAGAGCCGGGAGCACGTGGAGCTGGAGCCCGCATTCCTTGTCCCCCACCCGACCCCGCCATCTGCTCAGCTCCCTGGCGCCCTCAGGCGCCCCACCCGCAGGGTCTCGTGCCTGAGTCTGGATGGCTGCTGGCCCGCTTTCCTGGGACCTGTCCCCACGGATGACCCTTACTGGGTCCGCTATAGAGGGAGGAGCAGAGCCCACCGAAGGAGCACTGGGCTGGGACTCAGGAGTCCTGCACTGTGTGACCTTGGGCCAGTCCCTGCTCCCCTCTGGGCCTCACTTTTCCCCTCTCTGCAAGACGATGGGCTGGAATTCAAATTGCTGGTTTGGTTCTGCCGGGAGGTAGATGGTAATGGTTGAGTGGGGAGGGCCCCCCGCATTCAGACAGTCTGAAATTAAGCTGTTGAAATCTGGGCTCTTACCACTTCCCTGCTTATAAAAGGCAGGTTAAATTAGCCCCTCTGAGCCCCAGTTTTCCCCATCTGTGAAGTGGGGATATTAGCTAAATAGGATTTCTCAACAGCAGCACTGTTGACATTGGAGCCACATATTTCTCCGTTGTGGCAGGTCTCGCCTGTGCGTTGCAGGGTGGGTGTTTAGGAGCATCCCTGGCCTCTACCTACTAGCACCCCTCCCCCCTAGTTATGATAATCAAAAATGTCTCCGTATGTTACTGGTGTCCCCTGAGGGCCCAAATCACCCTGGTAGAGAGCCACGGAACTAACATACCGCATGCATTGTTAGCAAGCAGTCATATATTAAACAGCTAAAATAAAAACCTCTAGCCATTATGGTAGCAATGATAAAAAAAAAAAAATTTAGAAACCTCTTCTTGATGAGTTGAGAAGGTTGGTAGATCCTCTCACCTACAAAGTAAATGGCAGGGAGAGAATGAGAAAACGTTGATCACTGTCAAAGCTGCGCGAGGGATGCTAGGAAGCTCATTTACATATTCGGTCTATTTCCGAATATGTTTGAAAATACTTGTGGTGAAAAGTTAAACCGAAGAGAAAACAAATAAAACACACGCTGCGTAAGACTGCCCGAGTGGCGGCGTCTCATCTGGGATTTCCTCCCTTGCGTCTCCACTGTTGAGGTTTCCAAGCAAAATTAATCCCCGGGTTTGGGGGAAACTTAAAAAAGTCGCACAGGAAGTTGGCTGGGCAGAGCGCTCCGGGCTTCACAAATACAATGGCGTTCACTTTCACCGCCTAGTTTAAGAAGATGTTGACGCCCAGGAACTTGCCCAGGGTTTTGCTGGTGGCGTGTGAAAGAAGCAAGTGGCCGGCTTGCCATTTAGTGGTTTAGTTTGGAGACAGACTTGATGGGGCCCAGAAGGCCTCGGCTTGAGGAAGGAACCTGCTGCTGTCTTTAAGTTCAAAGGTCTGCCGTCAGATCTGCTGAGTCTTTGCTTTTGGTCCCACTCAGCGGAAGCGGGAATGTGTATAAATAGGAAACCGCAACAGGCTAGTTCTGCGGGTTCTAAATGGGGAGTCCAGGATGAGCGCCATTTGCTGTGTGACGCGAGGTCATTTAAAAAAATGCTCGTCTCCTTCCTCCTGAAACACCTAAATCTGGGAGAATAATGCTTATATAAGAATGATATGGGCAAGTGTGGGTGATCTGGCACGCTGACTCTGCACGTCTTTGAAGCTAGGTGCTGTGTAAACACCGAGGCTGGGTCTGGGAGAAATTGTAGTGTGGTGGCTAGGATAACCGGTCCGGAGCCAGACTGTGTAGTTCAAAGTTTGGCTTTCGAGCTGTGGGTTCTTGGTCAAGTCACTTAATGTCTCTGAGCCTGAAGTCTCTCATTCTGTAATGGGGGCTAGTACGGGGTTTAAAACTTGCGGGGTTCCTGGGTGGCTCAGTCGGTTAAGCGTCCGGCTCTTGGTTTCGGCTCAGGACACGATCTCACCCTTTGTGAGTTCAAGCCCCGCGTCCAGCTCTGCACTGACAGTGGGGAGCCTGCTTGGGATTCTCTCTCCCCTACCTGCCTCCCCCCTGCCCCCACCCCTACCCCGCTTGCTCTCTCTCTCTCAAAATAAATAAACTTAAAAAGAAAATCCTACTTACTATTAATGAAGTTTCAATCAGCTTTACTTAAAAATTGCTAGAAAACCCCTGGTACATAGTAAATGCTCAATGAGTATTAACTACTATTATTTTAATGGGTTTTTTTTTTTTAAGTCGAAAATCTTCACAAAACACATAAACAAGGGTCAAGAGGGATGGAGGTGGTGGAACATATTAGCCATAATCTCAATCTCCAAACATAATTATGCTTAAATTTTTAGTATTTGTTCTTACACAGTTCCCTGCCATACTTTAATGCTATTACTGTAATACTCTATTTTTTATTTAAAAAAAGTTTTTTTTTTTAATGTTTATTTATTTTTGAGAGAGAGAGAGGGAGCGGAGGAGGGGCAGAGAGAGAGAGAGGGAGCGGAGGAGGGGCAGAGAGAGAGAGAGACACAGAATCTGAAGCAGGCTCCAGGCTGCACAGAGCCTGATGCGGGGCTCAAACCCACGAACCATGAGATCATGACCTGAGCTGAAGTTGGACGCTTAACCGACTGAGCCAACCGGGCACCCCTGTAATACCCTTTATTGAGATAGAATTCACATACCATAAAAAAATCCACCATTTTAAAGGGTACAATTCTGTACTTTTTAGTACATTTGCATGGTTATGCAACCATTGCCACTGTCTGATTCCAGAATGTTTTCATCAGTGATTGTATTTTAATAATTGTTTTTCTCTTTTTACCCCCCTCCCCCCGAAACCTAGAAGATGCCTCTGATGGAGGAGTTTCTGGGAAGTACCTCTGGGCCAGTGGCTTTGAACGAGAGCTCAAAGCAGAGACTATTCAAAGCTCTGGACATCGCATCCTGAGGGCTGCAGGAGAAGAGAACATGGCTGTGAGTTTAGATGACGACGTTCCCCTCATCCTGACCTTGGATGAGGGTGGCGGTGCCCCACTAGCTCCCTCCAACGGCCTGGGCCAAGAGGAGCTGCCTCGCAGAAGTAAGACTGGGGGGAGGGGGTTGCCGGGGGAGGGGCACACCTCTTCTGTTTCAGGGGGTGAGTTGTGGACTTGGTGGTCTGGTAATAGATGCACCTATGCCAATGCCTGACCTTGCATTTGACCCCTGAGTTCTGACACAGAAAGTACTAGGAGACTGTGGGGTCCTAATCTTGCACCTCCAGCTTAGGGATTCTTCCAGGGAGGAGCCTCCCCTCCCGGGGCTCTCCGTTCCCTCAGTGCCTTACCCCCCTTGCACTTGAGGTACCCTGGCTTTGTTTGTGGATGCTCGGTGGGGACCTCAGGCAAATTGGCCCTTTGGCTAACTTCCCTGCCCCATTCCTTGTTAAAAAAGGAAACAGGGGCACCTGGATGGCTCAGTTGGTGAGGCATCCGACTCTTGATCTCAGCTCAGGTTTTGATCTCAGGGTTGTCAGTTCAAGCCCCGTATTGGGCTCCGTGCTGGGCGTGAAGCCTACTTAAAAAAGAAAAAAAAAAAAAAAGGAAAAAGAAAAGCGAAAGACACCGATTTCAACCCTGGCCTCCTCTGTCCAACCCGAAACCTTTGGCAGGAAAGCAGAGTTGAGTGCTTCTCCACGTGGGTGCTCAGGCCCTTGCTGCTGCCCAGGACAAGCAGGAAGGAGCCGAGCATTTGTCGTGATCCATTGATTTGAGGGTTTGGGGTTTTGCTCTGTGTCTTCCTCTAAACCAGAGCCTGGCATGAAGTGAGCCCAAGAGAGGCGAGCTTTAAATTTTTTACATTTTAATTGTGTTTCTGGCAGAATGGGAGACCTTAAAAAGCTTCCTGGTCCTTGTCCCAGAGCCATTTCCCTCGCATGCTCAGGCCTGGTGTCTGGGAGAGCTTAAAATAAACTTTCGTTTTGTGGAGCGTCCTGAGATGTCAGGGGTCAGTGCTTTAGGAGCTCCTTACCAAATGGACGTGCTGCCCGCTGGCCATGCTCCTGAGCCAGGACAGAGGGCTGTTGCTGTCCTCCAGATCACATGGGAACACACTTGGGCCCCGGGAAAGACGAGCCTGGCCCTTCCATCTCCTTTGTCCAGAGAGAACACAGTCAGGTTGCAGGGAGCTCAGCAGCGTCCCCTTGGAAATGATGAAGGACAGCATTGTTCCTGTGGATGAGAGTATGACGGGAGGCCTGGCTCCCTGTAAACTGGCCTCTCCTTGCTTGCAAATTCACTCCGCGCCCCCCCCCCCCCCCATGGTAGATCTGGGTGGTCTAGGAAGGTTAGACTATCAATCTCTTCCCTAAGCGCCATTCAGGGCTGAGAAATCAGTGGCTCTGATTTCAGGCTCACTTCTTAGATGCCCTAGAGCTAGCAAGCTGAGTGTGAAAGCTCCTCTTCTCTGTTATCTTAACTAAGATCCTTTGGTAGCACAGGCACTATTCCTATTTTAAGGAGGAGGAGACTGTGAGTCAGAGAGGTGAAATAACATGCCCAGGGTCACACAGCCAAGCAAGTGGCTGAGGTCACATTTGAACCCAGGACTGTCTGACTCCCCTCCTCCTCCTTCTCCCTTTTTTCCTCTCCTTTTTTTCCATCACAAGCCCTTGACAAATGCGAGTGCTGGCCCTTAGCATTTGTATATATTAATCTCATCAAGATGAGCATGTTGTCACTTTCCAGATTTACAGAGGAAGAAACAGCCTCAGAGAAGTTAAGTGACTTGTCCAAAGTCAGACAGCTAGTAAGCGGTAACGCCCCTCTGACACCTGCCCCTACACCCTGTGTGAGGTGCTTTGAAGAAAGTGATGTAAATGAACGTGACCTCGTCTCAGCTTGAAAGTAGGATACTCCCTAGCGAAGGGGTGGTCACGTCCATGGCCAACAAGGGAATGGACGACAGGGGAGGGTGGTTGACATGCTAAGGGTGTGGATCATTCTGGAAATAGTCCAGCTCAGGATTCTAAATTGGAATCCTGGTCATTGTCGTGGGTGCCGCTTTTAAGTCCTTGCACAGTGTCAGCTGATGGCCGGGGTGTTCGGCTCTCCTGCGGATCAGTGGGAAGAGCAACCTAGTTCTGTGTCAAGATCAGGTTTGGAACCAGTGACGGAGCTTGAGTGGGAAATAGGCCAAGTAGACAATAAAACCAACCTTAGATGGGCCACTGGCGAGGCTATTCTTTTTTTTTTTTTTTTTTTAATGTTTATTTATATTTGAGAGAGAGAGAGAGAGCGAGCGTGACAGTGCTCCAGCAGGAGAGGGGCAGAGAGAGAGGGAGACACAGAATCGGAAGCGGGCTCCAGGCTCCGAGCGGTCAGCACAGAGCCTGTCGCGGGGCCTGAACCCAGGAGCTTCGAGATCATGACCTGAGCTGAAGTCGGACTGCCGACCGATGTAGCCAGGCAGGCGCCCCCTGGTGAGGCTATTCTTACCTTGGTGAAGTTGGTGGCTCCTTTTGGCTGTATAAGAAGAATGAAATATAGGGGCACCTGGGTGGCTTAGTTGGTTAAGCACCTGACTTTAGCTCAGGTCATGATCTCGCGGTTTGTGGGTTCAAGCCCCGTGTCAGGCTCTGTGCTGACAGCTGGGAGCCTGGAGCCTGCTTTCGATTCTGTGTCTTCCTCTCTTTCCGCCCCTCCCCACCCCCCCCTTTCAAAAACAAATAATAAAACATTAAAAAAAATAAAAAAGGGAAGGTCCAGGGAAACTGTACTTTCCGTGCAGTGTGTTGGTGCCTCAGTTTCCCCTCTCAGCCTCTTAGTAGATCATTTGCTCAAACCTCCAAGAGCTGGTGGGTGTAACCCACCAAGCCTCGCTGGCAAATCGGTCGGGCCTCTCTGAGGAAAGAAGAGATTGCAGAGGAGACCTGCTGCGCCTCAGTTCACGCCTTTGTTGTTTCATGCTTGGATTTTGGCATTGACCTTCTCCCCAAAGTCCCCCGTCCCTGTGGTCCTGAACAGTCTGTCTGAACCACAAATCGGACCCGGTACTTTCCCGAGCTCGCAGCCCCCCAGGACCTTGGCGACCCCTACGGGATGCGGGCCAAGCTCTTTAGCCAGCGCCCTCGGCCTTGTGTGCCCCGGTGCCTTCTTGCCTGAATGGTCCCATTTTCCTGCCTTTGCCACAGTGTCAGGCCGCTTCGGGCTCTGTGAAAGGCCCATGCGTTCTTCAGCCGCTCTGCCTTGCTGGTGACTCTGCCCAGCCTCTGGTTTGCTGCCATTGTTGCTTGCTTCCAGTTCTATCTTGGAGATCCTGCTGATACTCCCGTCTCTTCGAAGCCTTCTCCGGACCTCCCCTTCCTGACAGGGCTAATCACTCACTGCCCTTTCCTGCTTTGGTGTCTAGATGAGGCTCCCACTATTACAAGTAGCTTACTGCGTGGTAATGACTTGTTTAGCCGTCTGATCACCTGCTGGGCCCTGCGTTCCATTCATCTTGGCATCACCCAGCTCGATGCCTACGGTACATAGGCACTCAACAGCTCATGGTGGAAATAAACCTAATTGGGTTTTCTGGGGCCTTGTCGCTAGCTCGTGGGAGTGGTGTCAGGGACCTGGTCAGAGGCGGGCGGTATCTCCCCCTGCCTTTTCTCCTAACCGGCACTCAGAGTCTCATTTTCCCCAGTGCAGCCGATTGTCCTAGAGGCTCCCACCATCGACACCCAGTCCGTGGCTGATGTAAACCCTTTCGGTATTAAGGAGTTGGCAGGATTTAGACGGAGGCCTTCAGCGGAGTTGGCAGCTACGTGGGCATGAGCCACTGAGAACCAAGCCAGCTTTCTAAGGCCGTGAACCTTGTTCTGGAGGCCGGAAGGAAGTCCAACATCTCGTCCGCTGCAGGATCAGCTTTTCTCTGAGGCCCTTCTCCTTTACCTGCAGACAGCTGCCTTCTGACTGTGTCCTCACATGTTTGTCCCCGAGTCTGTGTGTCTGTGTCCTAATCTATTCTTACAAGGACACCAGTCAGATTGGCTTAAGGCCCAGCCATATGACCTCATTTTACCTTAATTACTGCTTTCAAAGCTCCGTCTCCAAACACAGCCACACTCTGGGGTCCTGGGGGTTAGTACTTCAACATAGGAATTTTAGAGGCACCTGGGTGGCTCAGTCGGTTGAGCGTCCGACTTCGGCTCGGGTCATGATCTCGCGTTTTGTGGGTTCGAGCCCCGCGTCGGGCTCTGTGCTGCCAGCTCAGAGCCTGGAGCCTGTTTCAGATTCTGTGTCTCCTTCTCTCTCTGCCCCTCCGCCGCTTGTGCTCTGTCTCTCTCTGTCAAAAATAAATAAATAAATGTAAAAAAACAAAACACAACAAAAAAAAAAAAATAGGAATTTTAGAGGGACACAGTTCGGCCTGTATAACACTCCTTTCCTTTTCCTTTCCTCCTCCCATGCAGGAGCCTGGCTGTGCTGCCTGTGACCTTTGACCCTGTGCTAGGGATGGCCTATGCTGGAATATTATCCCTGCAGGGAATTGGAGGGTTGGGATTTTTTTCTTCCCTTTGTGGGCAAGAATGGATTTTATCCAAGATTCAGACATCTCTCTGGGCTGTAAGAGCGGCTGCCGAAATGCTAACGAATGACTCACAGGCAGAAGATGTCAGGTTGATAAAGGAGGCAGGTATAAGCAGAGGTATTTAAAGCTTGGAAATTAGGAATAACCTTGAACATGGTCAGTGGGGCTGACGTGTGACAGCGTGGTTTAGAAATAGCTCATGGTCTGCATTGTGTATCAGGCAGCGGTCTAGGCCGCCATTAGACCGTAGAGGGTGAACGCCGTGGGCAATACAAAGGATTTTCCAAGGAATTCTGGTCACACTCACCTTTTGCCTTCTCATTGCCTTTTAACCCAACAGCTGCCTAAGATGGGCCTGTACTCGCTGCTTTCTCTGGGTGTAAGAAGGATTAGGGTCGAGGGGAGAGGCTGACACACTTAGTCTCATGAGCTACTTTGGGGTTTGTTTGTTTTTTTTTAAGTTTATTTATTTTAGCAATCTCTACACCCAACGTGGGGCTCGAACTCACGACCCTGAGATCAAGA